GCAGAGGGGAAAGGAATGAGCACCCGTTCATCTGGAGTGAGTCCCTGGAGCTCTGACATCTCTTACGCTCCCAAATTCGCTTCTGGAAGGCAGACGGTTCACCTCGATGCTTTGTGGATGGTAACTCAGAAAAAGGAGCTGTGTTCAGTCAGCGGCGTTTGCTGGGACTCCCTTTGGTCCTGAAGCAAAGGCAGCAAAGCGAAGCCATCCTGGGGGTACTTTGCCTTGGAGCAGGTTTGTGTCCCCTCGCTGGGCACCGCGTTGCATCCTCGCTGCTCTCCTTCCTCCGCGGGTGAGGTTGAAGTTTGGGGGTGCCTCGGGACGCCGCCGTGTACTGCACAGGGAGAATTTGGCTGTCTTAACCTTTCAAAGCGGCTCCTGTTTGAGTTTGGAGTTGATCAATCAGACTTCTTCCCCAGTGAGTACATCACTGGATCTTCTGCCCTTCCCTTTCCTCAGAAGCCGTTGGTAGGAGCACAGCTTCTCCGGGCGCTCAGTTCTTTTATTGTGGGAGGGTTTTGTGTTTTGCTGCTTCTTTGGACCCATTTTGTGCCTGCTTTTCCCTCCAGGGAGGGAGATTTGAGTATCTGTGAGTTGAACCTGCAAGGGAGAAGCTGGACTGTGAGGGTTGGAGGATCAGTATTTCTACACAGAGACTCTAATGTGTGTTTTAGCTGTTACTGGAGTTATTTTTATTACCTAAGCCATGCTGTTCACTGGGAGAAAACTCAAACCACGACTTGGTATTACAATTTTCTCCCTTTTTTTTCCTCTCTTCCTCCGTGTGATGCTGCTCAGCCCTCCTGGGTGGTATCTTGACTGTGAAGTCTCATTAGCGAACGGTCGTTAGTGAACGCGTTGCCTAAATGCAGCTCTCGGGAGGGCTGCCATGGGTCTTTCTGGGAAGTTTTGTCTCTCCCCAAACTTGGCTCGTTCGGCCGGCAGTGCCGTGCAGGTAGCAGAACAGGTTTGGATTCCTGTTACCCAACACATTAGTGGAAATCCTGGGAGCTTTGAAGTTGGCAATTAGAGGCCGGGGTATGGAAAAGGCTGATTGTCAAGAAGGGATCTAATTTGGTTTTTTCTTCCATCAGGGACTGGGATTTTACAGTTGAAAGGCCCGGGTGCGTCTGTGTTATCTCAAGCTCTTCTCCCATGCGGTTCTTGTCGTTACTTGTGCCGGTGTCTTTGGTACTGAACATTTCTGATGTGGCAGAGAAACGAGGGCGCTTCGGGGCTCTGGCCACCGGGGATTCGGTTGCTGTGACCGGAGGGGTTGATCTTGCTGTGTAGTTGCTTCTTCAGGTGATTTCTATGGGTGTCCATCGAGTCCCTCTTTATATCTCATGCGGGTGTAACCTTACAGGTGCAGACCAACAGCAGTGCTATGTGCCCTGAGGAGCGCTCATGTCTCACGTTAATGTGCACTACGAATGTATGCCGAATAAATGGAATATGACGATTACCCCGTGGTCCTGTCGTTTGTGTGCAGTGCAGAGAAGCAGATGTCACGTTGTGGAATGAACTTTAGTTTTCATTTAAAACTGAATGCCAGGCCAGCGGTCACCAGTTGAACTCATGCAGTTCAAACTGGGCTTCTCACAACCTCTGTTTTCCAGGTCTCCCTTCCCTTAAGGAGTGATGTCTGTGTCCTTGTGTATCACAGAATCCCAGAGCGTTAGGGATTGGAAGGGACCTCCAAAGCTCATCCAGTCCAATCCCCCTGCCGGAGCAGGAACACCCAGATGAGGTTACACAGGAAGGCGTCCAGGCGGGTTTTGAATGTCTGCAGAGAAGGAGACTCCACAACCTCTCTGGGCAGCCTGGGCCAGGGCTCTGTCACCCTCACTGAGAAGAAGTTTCTTCTCCAATTGAAGTGGAACCTCCTGTGTTCCAGTTTGTGTCCGTTACCCCTTGTCCTATCATTGTTTGTCACCGAGAAGAGCCTGGCTCCATCCTGGACTGGAGGTCTCTTCAGAAGGTTCCTGCAAGAGAAAATCCTCACGAAGTGGCTGATCCTCACCCTGGTTTGGGAAGTTAAATGTTAGACCCAAAGGTTTGTTTCTGGAGCCGCTCTCATGGCTGCGTAGGAAAGGAGGAATATTGATTTTAATGTGGCTGGAAGCCACAAAATCTGTGTCCTGTGATCTCTATTTTGGAAATAAAGCACTAGAAGGAACTCGTGCAGTAGAGGATACGTGTGCTTGTGCCCAGTTCATAAACACAGCTGCTTTGGGCACCACCGAGCCATTGCAGCTCCCAGCAGCTTCGTATGGAGAACCCAAGCAGAGAGCAGTTGTGCTCCAGGGTCAGTGCATGCAGCTGTTTTATTAATTAATTCCTAATTAATCACATAGAGCAAGAGGGTGTAAGTGATGGAGGGGAAGGACAATAACTGGGGTGGGATTCAGCACCTTCAGGAAGGGTTTTAGCTGGCAGCAACAGGCTTTGATGACCAGGGGAAGCTTTAATGACATGGGAAATCTTTAATGACCAGGGAATCAATCCCATATTCATATTTATTGAATCCTGTGCTACCATGTGTTGAGGAAAATAGCAGTAACTTGTGTCTGAGGCAGAGGTGCAGGACCTGGGGTTGTGAATGATCCTGGAGCTGGGACCAGTCCCTTCTCTGTGATTTTGCTACAGGTAGAGTGGGAAATTGGTGGTGATGGGGATGTCTTTGGGAGGTTTCTGTGCCTGCTGGCTCTGTGGCCAGGAGGGGTCTTTGGGACACAAGCAGAGGCCGGATCCCACTTTAGAGCCCATTTTTGAACCCTGAAACACCATCGAGAGCTGCCAGCTTTTGGGAGACGGCGCCCACCTCTGCAGGGCTGTTGGTGTAAGAGGATTTAAGGACACAGGATCCCCGCTGTTAGGAACCATAAATCCTCGATTCCCGTTAGGCCCCGTGCCTGGCAAACACGTCCTCTCTCCCTTTGGGTCAAGAAGTGCCGAAAGCAGGACGTGTTTGTGTGTGCTGTAGAGGGCACCTTATTCCTTTGTCATTTGGCAAGGCTGAGTCCCCGTGGGGACCCGCAGATAACACTCGGTATATTGACGTTTTGATAACTGCTCTTTGCTTTCAGCTAGAATTTGCTTTTTATCCAATCTTAATAAGTTGATCTTTCTATCAATCCTGCTAGCAAACAAGATAATTGCTTTATTATAGTCTCAATATCCAGCAAAGGACACGCACTCCCCGCTGCTCCCGGGGGGAATGAAAAACCCTGCGCGAGGCGTTGGCACGGGATGAGCGCGGCGATAGCGACGCCGGGCGATGGAAAATGCCACTTCCCCATTGGAAAGAGCTGGGATGCTCGGAGCAGGGATGCAGGCCAGGCCGGAGGAGGCCTAGAAAATATTTAGCTTATAACTGGAAACGTTTTGGTCCTTTCGCTGGGTTAGGACCAAAAATATTTTGGTCTGTTTGCTGGAAAATATTTAGGTTATGGCTAAAAAAAACAAACCCCTATTTTGGTGCATTTGCTGGAAAATATTTAGATTCTAACTGAAAACGTTTGGGTGTTTGCTGGTCTGTGTTTGTGGTTCTGGCTTTTTTAACAGAAAAAAAGGCAAACAAGGGGTTTTCTGACTTTCTGGGCTGGTGCAAGGAACCCTTGGGTGGGTTAAACCCCATGGGCTTACTCCGTGGGTGGGTTAAACCTCCCCACGTCAAGAGGTGCAGCGCCTGCCTCAATGCAGGATGGAAAGAGAATTAGTTGCTCCACAAAAATTAAAAAAAAGGGGAAAAATAGGTATTTTTCTATACAAAACAGTATGAAATAAGTGTGTGATGTGTGGAAATGAGCTGTACCTGGAGGAGAGGGCAGTGAAGGGCTGGGAGCTGATGAAGGGGTGAAGGACACTGCGGATGGAGAAGCAGAGAGGAGCAGAGCAGAAGCATAGGACTGTGTCCAGTTCTGGCTGCTCAGGTCAAGAAGGACAGGAGCTGCTTGAAAGAGTCCAGCAGGGCCACAAAGATGCTGCAGGGAGTGGAGCATCTCCTGCTGAGGAGCGGCTGAGGGAGCTGGGGCTCTTGAGCTTGGAGCAGAGGAGTCTGAGGGGTGCCCTCATTCCTGGGGATCCATTTGGGAAGGGCAGTGTCAGGAGGAAGGAGCCAGGCTCTGCTCTGGGATGGCCAATGCCAGGACAAGGGGCAATGGTCCCAAGCTGGAGCACAGGAGGTTCAAGCTGAAGATGAGGCCAAAGTTTGTGAGTGTGAGGGTTATGGAGCATGGCCCAGGCTGCCCAGAGAGGTTGTGGAGTCTCCTTGTGTGGAGACACCTAAAGCCCTGGCCGTGTTCCTGTGTGACTGCTCTGGTGATCCTGCTCTGGCAGGGGTTGCACTGGGGGAGCTCTCCAGGTCCCTTCCAACTCCTCATATTCCGTGATTCTGTGACAACGCTGGAAAGCACCAAGGGGAAATCAGCATTAACCTCGTGGGCTCCATGAGCGGGGAGAGTAGAGCAGTCGGCTCCGTGTCCTGGAAAAGCCCCAACGCCAGCAGCCATCGCCGCTCCACGCCAGAAGGTCCGGAAGGACGGCAGACAAAAGTCCGAGGCGTTTTCCATCCTGCGCCAAAAGCCACGAGCGCCTTTGTTTTGGGGCAAGGTTTGAACAGGTTTTGACGAACACAGATAACGCCCCACCACGCTGACGTTCGGGTCACTCCTCTCTTTGCGGCGATAAGGGCTGGCCTCTTATCGGATGGTAACACTTTGATCTCGCTATCGACGGCGTGTGTCGCTCCATTCTCACCCCAGCGCCTCGCTAAGGACACAGACTCCTCAAAAAAAAAAAAATTCCTCGTGGCCCAAAACACAAAGAAACCCTTGAAGCCGGGGGTGCGCGTGGTGGTGGTAATGGAAAACGGAGGTCAGCAGATAAGGGGTGGGGGTCACCGCTTCCCAATATAAAAGCGGGGAGTTTGGGCAGCTCAGTCCGGCTGCTGCGGTCTCCAAGAGGGTGGGTGTGGAGCGGCGGACAAGTCCTGCACCATGAAGTGGTTCATCCTGGCTCTGGTGTGCCTCCAGCTCTCGGAGGGGCTGGTGAGGTGAGTGTGGCAGAACCCAGATGCCATTGGGACCTGCATGGGTTGCGCCGCATCCCTGAGGATGTTGATGGAGCCCAACCGGGTACAACTCCTGCATCTCCATAGAGCATCGTGGTCCTGGTCCCAGCTGCATCCTTCACTGCAGGGCAGCTCCTGGGGACCTCCAAGGCACCCGAGCAGGGGGCTCCCATCATGGCAGGGTTCAAAGGAGCCCAAGAAGGGATCACTGGAAAATGCCCAAATCGTCTCCTCATTTCCTGCTGTCTTTCGCTTTTGGTTTTTTCCCCACTCTGTGCAGAATCAAACTGAAGAAAGCCAAGTCCATACGGGAGAAAATGAAGGAGGCCGGAGTGCTGGAAGACTACCTGAAGAAAATCAAGCATGATCCAGCCAAGAAATACCGCTTCAGTGACGACTACGTTGTGTATGAGCCGATGACCAACCACCTGGATGTGAGTACCCCCAGTTCCCCTCACTGCCCATCCATGCACCCTTTCCCTCCTCCTCCCCGAGCCTCTTGACTGAGATTGCTTTTTCCCCACTCTTTAAGCTTCTATTTTACTCTTTAGACATATTCCCCCCCCAGCAACAAAAAGTGATGCTTTTATGTATGTAAAAAAAAGGGATAATGAAATAAGTATTTAATATTACATCTTCTGGGAGAGGGTAAGAGTAAGGGTAAGGGTTCAGTCCGTTCCTGCCTACTTTATTATTTGTAAGCATCAGTTTGGCATTCCCTGGCACCCTGCAAAGTGCCGGGATGCTGGCGAAAGCCTGGTCCATCCCTGACCCCCTGGCCAACGGAGATGCCCCATCTCTCACCCACAGTCCTCCTACTTTGGGGAGATCAGCATTGGGACCCCACCGCAGAACTTCTTGGTGCTCTTTGACACTGGCTCCTCCAACCTGTGGGTGCCCTCCATCTACTGCCAGACGGCGGCGTGCAGTGAGTAACCGCGGTCCCATCCATGGGGACAGATCGTGGTTCCACACCAAAAATGATCCGGGATGGCTGCTCCCTGGTCCCAGCTGGGGATGCAGAGCTCTGAGGATGCTCGTGCTGGGTATCTGGTGCGGTTGCGATGGATGCTGGTGGTGAAATCCCCAGCTTTGCCGTCTCTCTTCTCTCTCGTGCAGCAAATCACGCCAAGTTCAACCCCACCTCGTCCTCCAGCTTCACCAACAATGGGCAGTCCTACACCCTCTCCTACGGCAGCGGCACGCTCACGGTGGTGCTGGGCTATGACACCCTGCAGGTGAGTGTGTCCTATGGGTGCTGTGTCCCCGGTGTGATGGAAGGGGCCTGGGGGGCAGCCCAAGGGCAAATCTTATAGCCGGGGCTTGGGCAAAACAGAGCCTGGGGTGGGTAGTACCAATAGTAAACGGTTATTGCCCCCATCAGCCACCCAGCTGGGGTTTTACTTCATTTTAACCCAATTCCTGCTACTTTTCCCAGCTGCCTGGAGGTGTTTTCACCAGCTGTGACCTTGCATTGGGCTCCTTGGGCTTTTGGAGCATTTGTGAGCCCATCTATGGCTGCTTGGGTTTGCCCAAGGGCGCAGGTTGACCTGGTGTCCCTTTCACCTCCAGATCCAGAGCATCAAGGTCACGAACCAGGAGTTTGGGCTCAGCGAGAACGAGCCAACCCAGCCTTTCTACTACGCCGATTTTGATGGGATCCTGGGCATGGCTTACCCCTCGCTGGCCGTGGGAGGGACGCCCACCGCGCTGCAGGGCATGCTGCAGCAGAACCAGCTCACCGAGCCCATCTTCAGCTTCTACTTCGCTCGGTAAAGATCTGCTGGGGTCCTCTGCATGCCCTATGTCCCTCTGCCTGTCCCTCATGAATTTGTCCCTCGCTAGCCCATGTGTTTGGTGCTGATTTACCGATCTCTGCTGCTGTCACCCTGTGTTTTCGCAGCCAACCCACCTACAACTATGGGGGAGAGCTGGTTCTCGGAGGAGTTGACACTCAGCTCTACAATGGGGAGATTATGTGGGCTCCAGTGACCCAGGAGCTTTACTGGCAGGTGGCAATTGACGAGTGAGTTGTGTTTGTACCCCATGGCCATGATCCATCCTCACGTAACGAGGGTGGCACAGCCGTCTCCTCCAGCTGAAGCTGCAGCGACTGCAGCAGGCGTGGGCTCTGATGCATTTCAGAGCATCCTAAACTGACAGACCCAGTTTAGCTGCTGTTGGATGCTTCAAGTGATGTCCTTCTCCTCCCAGGTTTGCCATCGGGCAGTCAGCGACCGGCTGGTGCAGCCAGGGCTGCCAGGCCATCGTGGACACGGGGACGTTCCTGCTGACGGTGCCCCAGCAGTACATCGACAGCTTCGTTCAGGCCGTGGGTGCGCAGATGACCAGCTATGGTGTAAGTGCAGGGGATGTTTTGAGGGGCTCGACCAGGTCCCACACAACTCATGTGGCACCTCCAGAACACGGTACTGCAGGCAGGTCAGGGAAGGACGGGGCGATATGGCACTGTGAGGGATGAAGTGTATGTTACTGTCCCCTGTTCCAGCCATGACCTCCTCTTCACCCTGTCCCCGCAGTACGCCGTTGACTGCAACGAGATCCAGAACTTGCCCACCATCACCTTCATCATCAACGGAGCCCAGCTCCCACTCAGCCCCTCTGCCTATGTCATTAACGTACGTATGAGCTGAGCAGCTTCATCCTCCTGGGTCCTTGAGAGGCAGGAGAGGATGATGCTCTCCCTCCCCGTGCGGGCAGATCCCACCTCCCTGCAGCCCAATGGGGAGTGTCCTGGTGCTTGTTGGAGGCTCTGACTCCCCTGTTATTCCCCTTTACAGAGCAACGGCTACTGCACTCTGGGCATTGAGGCCACCTACCTGGATTCCCAGAACGGACAACCGCTCTGGATCTTGGGCGACGTCTTCCTGAAGGAGTATTACACCGTCTTTGACATGGCCAACAACCGCGTCGGCTTTGCCCAGTCGGCATAGACCAAAATCCACCCCCTCTCCTGGCCAAACACCCCTTAGCCAGCACTGCTGGAGCTCTATGGGGTCCCTATAGATCTTTATGTGCCTGCGTGGCTCTCTGTCCCTCTGGCATTCCAGTGTCACTGTGTTCCCAGTCTCCTGTTGCAAATAAACCCCAACATCTCAAATCGTCTCTGACCTTCTGAGTTTGTTGAGTGACGACTGAGCACAGACCGATGGGTTGCGTGTCTCAGCCGCTCTTGCTCCAGCAAGATAAGTGCCCAGATTAACTCCTGGGCAGGTTTCTGTGGAGTCAGCACAGGGAAAGAAGTGGGGAAGCTGTCCCTGGGTTGGTTCAGATCTGAAGTTGATGACAGGAATCTCATTAATGCTTATAAATATCCAAAGTGTGGGTGACAGGAGGATGGGACCAGACTTCTCGGTTGTACACAGTGACAGGACACAAGGAGCAATGATCACAAACTGGATCATAGGAGGTTCAACTTAAATATAGGGAAAAACTTCTGTCCTCCTTGTTCTCCATAAGAGGGAAGCCTGAACCTGATTTCTGCCAGGGCTTTGCTTTGTGGAGGAGAAGCAGCGTGTACCTGGCTGCGGTGAAGGGGATCGGGACACCAAGAAGCCCCTGGGGTTGGTCTTAAACACCAACCCCAGCCCCAGGGGACAGGAGTTCCCTGAGGGATTCCCCAAAAAAGCCAGTTCTGCCCTGTGCCATCAGGTCCTGAAGTGTGTCTGGATACACCAGGAGCACCGGGGTGGCACAGCTTCCTCCTCCTCCGGGCTGCACCGCATCGCTTTGGGGAGATGCTTACCAGCTCCTACCCCTGCGAATACAGAGCGAGACAGCGGCCGTGGCCATTGCTTGGCTTGCAGTTTGCGGTGACCCTGGGGTGACCACGGGGACACGCTGGCCTGGCTCTTGCTGCTGCTGGTGCTCGCAGGGCTGAACCGATCGCTCCGACCGGCCAAGGGTAAAGCCATGGGTCTGCTGGTCCCCAGCTCCATCCCTTTGCTGGGCATGGGGAAACCTCGTCATAGGTGCGTGTGGGAGGGCAGTAATCTTCCTTGCAGCTGGATAAGGTTTAACCAAGTCCTGTGACTAAGTCAAAGTGGGAATATGAGGCCAGATTAGGTTAGCCATGACATCCAAATGACCCCTAAATCCTGCAGCAGGGCCATTCAGTCAGGTCAGTCAACAGCCGGGGTATGGGGAATCACGGTCTGCGGGTGAAGGGGACGGGGAACACCGCTCTTTCCAGGGATCCAAACTGGTTTCTTAGAAGCTCTTTATCACGGGAGCTTGTTATCAGATTTATTAATAGCTCTGTCATTCCACCAGAGAAAGGACACCAACTCCTCTGTGCTTTGTGTCAAAATATTGACACAGGCTGAGCGCAGCGAGACGGAGATTAGATAGGCACGGATAGCGGGGAAGGGCGTTTCTCCTCCCCTATAAATGGGGAAGTTTCCCCGAGCTGGAGCTGCTCTGGCAGTGGCGGTGGCAGGAAGGGACAGGCCAGGCTGTGTCCCTGCTACTCCTTGCTCCCTGCGGGGTCCATCCAAGCAAAGGCAGATCCATCAGGATGCAATGGAGGAGGAGGGGGTGTTTCTGAGGCTCAAAGCACTGGTTTGATGCTGACAGCTCCCATAGGAGCAGCAAGGCTCTGCTGGGGGCTGTCCCCAGTGTTTGGGGGGGTTTGGGGAGTCCATAAGTGCCCTGTAGCAAAGCACCACGGGGCTGCTCCTGCCCGACCCCTCCTGCTGAGCCCTTCTGCCTCCAGTGCAAGGATGAGCAGCGTTCTCGGGGTAGCAGATGCCAGGATGGGTCCTCAGGGACCTGGCAGGGCTGGTGGCACCTTCCCAGGGGAGGAATGGGTCTCCTGGGACTAAACATCCCCTGTGAATAGTGCCTAAGTACAGCTCCCTGCATCTCTCCAGCCTGGGTACAGCCAGCATCGCTCGATGCGTATGGGAGGCCTCACCTCTAATGCACCAGATGTGCGACCTGAGCACCCTCGGCGTAACCCTGACATGGAAAATAAACTGCAGCAAATCAAAGTGTCTCTTGGAGACGTCTGAGTGGTGGTAACCAGGCAGGTAAAGGCCTGTTATAGCTTTCAGGGCTGCTACATCCAGCAGTTTCTAGCCCCAATCTCAGCTTATTTGGGGGTGTTGGCAGAGCTGGGGGGCAGAAGGGGCAGGATAAAAAGGACAGGATTGACAAAAGGACAAATGCCTGGAGACATTTTGGGGGGCAGGATGTGGTTCCTCAGCTGTGTGAAGGGGTCAAAAGAGGAAAAGCAACATCATAAATTCGTATTTGTTACAAAGGGTGTGTTTTGCCTTTGTTTTCAGGAAAGATCAGGCTGGTGCTGAAGGCACAAGAAAATACTTTAGCTTCTTGATAACAACAGAATTTTGCTTTTTATCAGCTGTCACATATTTGGTCTCGGTATCAGGGGTAGTGGCCAGCCTGTAAGCACCTGAACAGCCGGGTAAGGAGGCAAAAATCAGGGCGGCTGCGGTGATAAACGCACCGCAAGCGTTGGTGTTGGGTGGGTGCAGCGATAGAGGAAAGGGGTGCCTGGAGCTGGGCACGGACCCTGGCTATAAACACCCTGCCCTGGTCCGGGTAACGCAGGAGCTGCTGTGGAGCCCCCAGCACACGTGAAGCCTGCAGCACCCATGGAGCCCCCAGCACCCAGGGCCATGCGGTGGCTGCTGCTGGCCCTGCTCTGCCTCCAGCTCGGGGAGGGGATGATGAGGTGAGCCCTGGGGATGGCTGCGAGGGTGCGGGGTCCGGCTGCGGAGCTGGGCTCGCCTTGGGGACATGGGGGTGCAGACGTGGATGGGACCGCTCAGCATCTCGCTGTTGTCTCCATCTCGTGCAGGATCCCCCTGAGGAAAGGCAGATCCATGCAGGAGGCGATGAGAGAGAAGGGGGTGCCTGAGGATTTCCTGAAGGTCCTCAGAGGGGATCCCGGTAGGAAATACCAGCTCAATAATGCCGTGGCTTATGAACCGCTAACGAACTACCTGGATGTAAGTGTTAAAGCTTTTCCTTCCTCCTCTCAGCCACCCAGCTCTGGTTTTTTGGGGACACCCTGGCTGGAGGTGGTCGGGATCCCCCCCCTGCTCATGAGCCGAGGGCATGGCCAGGAGTTTTGTTGTCCTTGTAGCCTGGCTCTGAGGGTTGGGTGATGGTGGGAGATGGAGGCAGGAGGCAGCACGTCTCATCCTGAATTGATTTCCTTTGGAAAAAGCAGTTTGGTGCTTACAGGGCAGATCTACTGCTCCTGGTGCTGCTGCTGGGTTTGTTAGGAGCTGTAAGCAAGTGATTGCCCCTGTCTGTACTGATGATGCCTGCAGGGATGAGGAGACCTTCCCACAGCCCCCCAGCACTTTGGGTTTCTCAGCTCACAGAGAATTGAAAACTCTGATTCAAAAAAAACCAGGCAGAAGCAGAAACCCTCCCACGCTCTTGTTCACAGTCCTTCTACTTCGGGGAGATCAGCATCGGGGACCCCCCCCAAAATTTCCTGGTGCTCTTCGACACCGGCTCTGCCAACCTGTGGGTGCCCTCCACCTACTGCCAGGCTCCAGCCTGCGGTGAGCATCCCTCCAGGGGGACCAGGGCTGGGTTTGGGTGCCCCCTTCTCTGGGAAGCCCTTTGCTGGGGATTCCTGCCCGTGTGGGGACAGGGATGCTGGGCCGAGGGCAGGATGTGACCCGGGGGCTGTGACTTTCTGTCCATGTAGTGAATCATGCCCGGTTCAACCTCAGCCTGTCGTCCACCTTCTCGGGCATCGGTGCGACCTACACCCTGACCTATGGGTTCGGCGACGTGTCGGTGGCGTTAGGGTACGACACGGTGACAGTAAGTGACTCCTGGTGTGTTGGTGCGTGGCTGCAACCGGGGTAAGGAGCGACTGCAGTTGTGATCAGTCCGATTTGGTTAAAAATTAAAGGAAGGAGCTGAAAGTGCCTTCTTATTTTTGTATATTAGTGCCTGAACCTGCCATGTAGAGTTTATGGTGTGTCACCATAAATGTGCTTGGAGGCTGGGATCTGCAAACAAACTCAGTCCGAGCCCTCTGGGCTCTTTATCACTGCTTTGGGCTGCGGGATAGCTTTGGCCATAAGTGTTTGCTTTTTACACCGATGGCTGTGGGACTTGCACGCAGTGAAATTGTGATTTTTTTAAACTAATTTAACTGAGGCAAACCAGTTTTGTGGGTATTTTAATGAAATAATAAGGGATGGGACAAGGACTATGAGCCAGGCTGCTCCCAACTCCATCTCCCTGATGGGGAATTCTCTTCATGTCCTTCCTGACCATCCCTGTCTCTCCCCAAAAACTCCCCGCTGGGATGTTGCTGACAAGGGGGAATGACCAAAACGCCAACATCTCCCAGCATCTTCCCTCTCCCAGATCCAGAACATCGTCGTCAGGAACCAGGAGTTCGGGCTGAGCCTGGCTGAGCCCACCAGACCCTTTTACTACCTGGACTTCGATGGGATTTTGGGTATGTCTTACCCGGGCGTTGGCATCGGCGGGTACAACACGCTGATGCAGAACATGCTGGAGCAGCACCAGCTCGCAGAGCCCATCTTCAGCTTTTACTACTCGCGGTGAGCCCTCGCACAGCGGGTCCCTCTCTTGCATAGACCCACCCTGCATCCATCCTTTCCTTCATTCCCTCTCCATCCTCACACACCTTCATGCTCTCCCCTTTCTGCGGAGCAGCCTGCCCGATTTGGGGTTTAATTTTGTGTCTTTCCAGCAACCCGACATACAGTTATGGTGGAGAAGTCATCCTCGGAGGGGTTGACCCCAAGCTGTACATTGGGGAGGTTTTATGGGCTCCGGTGGTCCAGGAATTGTACTGGAAGATCAGCATTGAGGAGTAAGTGTCTCACCGCGGCTCTGAGCGGGTCTTGAATGAGAGGGAGCCTTTTCTGATGTCTTTTTTGCTGCTCTCCAGGTTCTCCATCGGGAT